CCTCTATCGGCCATCATCAGTTGTATACTCTTAACGTTGCTGCTACACTGAAACCCAGTCTAAAATTTAACATTTAAAAAACACATTGTTAAATTTTAGACTGGGTTTCAGTGTAGCAGCAACGTTAAGAATATACACCTGATGATGGCCGATAGAGGCCGAAACATGTAGTGTAGAAAAGAACAAGATCAAAGACATATAATATATATTGTTTGCACTTGGAACGGAGTGTGTATCATTTTCCTTTTCACTACTGGGAACACGTGCGGCTGGAGCTATGCCCCGTCGATAAACGCACATGCGCTTTCCAGATGCTAGAGTTCCAGTACTGCATGTTTGGCGCATACTGTACCATTAGCGTCTCAAGAAAGACCCTAATCCATGGAGTTTGTCAAGTTTAAATAGGCATGGCAGAATGTGACATATGTCTCCAGCATTTTGCGTTCTGTGCACGTGCTGGCTAGAATTGTAACTAACAGATCGCCAAAGCAGACGATATTTCTTATCTTCGCATTCCATGTTTAGATTATAATCTTCAGTGGCATAATACGTGATATATCAAAATTTCTTGTTTTTGTATACTCACACATGCTTGTGCTCCTTTGTGCTCTGAGCCTGAAAAGAGAGACAGCAATAATTAACTTGTAAGTAAAAAATAGAAACCTATATTTTTATAACTNGGGGCGTCATCCATAGCTCAGCACGTCACAATATAGTAAACAACCTCCATTTTTTTTTTGCATAAGTTTGCGGGATTTGTGTACTGTGAGTTCGATACCGATGTAAGAACGCATTTAATGTACGTAGTATATTCTGTATTCTTCTTATATTCCTGTTGCTCCCACTTGGAGCAAAGGGCAACCGTGAAACGCTTCGTTCCACTTCAGTTTCGTAATCTAAGACGGTAGGACTCCTTGGACGGGGGATCAGCTCGCCGCAAGGCCGTTATCTAACACAAACAGAATGAACACAAAGAGACAACCATGCCTTGAGTGTGATTCTAACCCATTATCCCAAACAGAATAAACACAGAGACAACCGTGCCTTGAGCGTGATTCGAACCCATGATCCCAGTGTTCGAGCGGGCGAAGGCATTTCGTGCCATAGGCACGTACGAGCCTGGCTTACGAGTCCGGCTCGGCGAGGAGCCGGCCTCGGATTAAGTTCACCACACACGTATGAGCGTGGTGACCCACACACGGACGAGTTTGGCTCATTGGAACCCGAGCCGAGTCGGACTCGCGGGCAAGATTCGTACGTGTATGGGCCCCCTTAGACCGAGCGTCCACTGTGGTCGACATATTCAATATTATACTTTAAATATTTTCGAAAATAGATTTTGGAATTTTATTTCATGATTCAGTATTTGAAATTTTCACTGCAATGAAAGTAAATATTTTAGTGTTCTTGGTTACGTCGCTGTGTACTATGGCAGGTATCAAAGATTCGGAGAAAATTTTTGCCTCCATGTTCGTGTAACCCATTGTCTTCTAGGTGAATGTGTCGCCTTCATCTGTAAGGATACTGTACCCCTTTGTTATGTCTCTGGAGTTCAGAAAGAAACAGACTTTCATATTAAGGTGCCCTCCTGATGAGGGTGCCAAGTCCATCCAAACTATGGGCAACCACCTCACAATCTATGCAGTGTCATGACTTTGAACGTTTCAAACGTATCATAGTTTATAAAACAATTTCCACGTGAAATTACTCTAAACATGAGCAAATAATTATGCATATATTTATAACTTACTTTCATTCATTTTCGCTTTGCACTCTTCAAATAATTTCCTTGTCTCCTGAGTAAAATCCGGTTTATCAACACTTCCACAACATTTCTGTTGAAAAATAAGGTAAATAAATATTTAAGTTTAACATAATAAAGAGAAAAGAGTGGGAAGCACTGTATTCGCTAGGTGCACGAGTCTGTGGAGTAACAAAACGTAATAGGATTATATACTATTGAAGTTATTTTCATTGAAACTTTTCTATTTGTGATATAACTTTCGTGAAGAAATGAAGGTCAAATTGTCAAGTCTTGTAGTTGTTAGCACTGACAAAATGTTCGTGATTTGGCTGTTCCATATCTTACCGGCCTTATATGTAAATTCTTCTGGATTTGACCTTTCAATAAAAGTACCTGGGTCATTTCATAAATAATGCATAGGTTGGCAACACTGCGGATTAGATGAGGCAACAACAGTGAGCCTCATGTCAGTTACAGTTCAGGGCTTGAGAAAGAAGCGCGTTATTTTGTTTCATTTATAATGCACTCTGTTCTTAAATAACGTATTTGTGGTAATGATATTAAGCTCTTTAAGTCTGGTATTTATCGAAATAGTCTTCAATAATTTTGTTGTTCCCTCAGTATCGAGAGCGCCTTTTCGTTACAACAAACTAAATGATTAATGCTGCTTAGGAAAATATTAGCTCACAGAATTACTGGGGTTTTTGGCCTTTTTCCATCGTCCGGAATTTTAGGTAATAGAGGACACGACGTTTCGAAAACTGGATCTATTTCCTTCTTCAGGTGAGAAAGGAAGACACCTACTCAGTTGGGCCCCTTAGGAAGAGAGATTAGCTTTTTCTAAGGGACCCAGCTGAGTAGGTGTCTTGCTTTCTCACCTGAAGACGGAAACAGATCCAGTTTCGGAAACGTCGTGTACTCTATTACCTAAAATTCCGGACGATGGAAAAAGTCCAAACCCCCAGTAATTCTTTGTGTCATCCACCATCGTCAGAACCCTTTAGAACCAAAATATTAACTGGATAAACCGAAAAATCGTACGAAACAAAAATGTAAATTCTTTGGGCGAAACTTACAGCTGATGAGTGTTGAAACAGGTGGTAAAAAAAGTAAAGCTATCCCTGTAACAGGCCGTGAAGGCCCTTAGGGTTGTGAGATGTTGAGGGTCCCACATTATCTAGACAGTCGGTTCAATGGTGGCGGTTAGGTTGTCAGCCTACGCGCTGGTCGCGCTTTACTCCCCAGGAAAATTATTTAAAGGTGGTTCATATACTAACCACAGAGATTTAGAGGATTAAACAAAAGAAAATTAATAAGAGTATTAACATGAAAGCCTACGTTTCTGCATCTATACTCAGCGTTTGTGTTCCGTTTTAATTATGGGGAACCACAATATTATATTTAAGCATCCTGTTGCACTCTACACGATAAATGATACAAACTCCGTCTGTACTACGTGTACGTGTACGACACGTAGTACAGACAAGCAGCGGCACTCACACAAGAAGACTACATTAAATAACACCTATACAGTGTGAAAACAAGAACTAGCCGCTCCAGCACGTAGACATAGGGCGAGTAACCCTAAGAATTTTAAATTTTAAATTTAAAATTTGTAGAAAAAATTTTAAAAGGTTTTAAAAACATCATAACTAAAGATTTTTAGAGTGCTACTACAAGAATATCGGGTGCGACGTGTGAAACATAATCTACATACCAGACACATATCAACGATGTAGATGTTGATAATCGAAGAAAGTGACATTGTGTTTTTAAATGTTAAGTTTTAGACTGGGTTCAGTGTGGCAGCGACGTTAAGAGTATACACCTGATGATGGCCGATAGAGGCCGAAACATGTAGTGTGGAAGGAACAAGATCAAAGACATATAAATATATATTGTTTGCACTTAGGACGGAGTTTGTATCATTTATCATGGGGAACCACATTAAAATATGACGTTAACAAGAGGAAATGGTTTGATTATGAAACATGTGTGCTGGAACTGTACAATTATTTAACGTCACTGTATCTTTGATTCAGTATTAGCTGGATTCCAGTCAGTATGACTTCAGAGAATTTTCTCCTAACATAATATTATACACGATTTACAGTTTTATATATTATTATCTTTTGAGTTATGACGCTGCGTTGCAGTCCTGTCTGTGATTTCTACCTACCTCAGTCGTCTCGTCCTGAAAATGGAAGCAGTATATGCCTCTGAAACGTTATTATCCCACCTATCAGACTACACCACTGTGACATAACCCAGAAGATCATAACATGAAACTTCACAACCATGAAAATATCGTACCTTAATTAGAGCTATATTTAAATGCTGTGAGGATTTCTTTTTCCTAATCAGGAGACCGAATTGTGAAGCAAACCTGAGTACATACCGGGTACAGTCGATGCTTGTCCATAGCATTACGCTTGAACCGGGACAAAGAAGAGGTTTCAACAAATTCTTCAAGATCTTCCTCCAGTGAAGGGATATGCAGTTCCCGTTGTTTCGCTAAAAATGCCTTGTCCTCGAGTCGACTTAGTGCAGACAGGACAGAGTCAACTGCAATAAACATTTCACGTTTCTCATGCATTTGTAGTAAGTTACGGCTACCCTACGCCTATGCATTTCTTTCATTTATTTGTAGTCGCATGCTGAGCAACCAGATTCGTAAGATTGCCTTATAAAGATAGATACACTTCATAGTGTGACGCATTTGCGCTATGCATGACACCCCCTCCCCCGTCAGCGGTGACGTGGTACTTTCGGAGCGTAGCCGTTGCCACGGTGATAGGCCAGTCAACACCCCGCCTCCTCCCGCGGTGACGTAACACGGGATGCCGCCGTTGCTACTCAGCAGTAAACAACTCCCGACCAGTATGCTTAGACTCGGTTCACTTCGGCTCCGCTCGGCACGTCACCGCTGGCGAGGGGGGAGCGTGTTGACCTGTCTATTACTGTAGCAAAGGCGACGCTCCGAAAGTGTTACGTCACCGCTGGCGGTAGGGGGGGTGAGGGGGTGTCCTTCATAGCGCAACACGTCACAATATTCATGGATTCGTATGGCACAGGATCGGAACTAGAGATGATTTGTTGTGGATACGTCAGTCGATTTCGGTGTTCGGGAACTGCTTCACGAGTTGAACGAGTGTTAAGAAATCTGCTGCATGGAGTTCGTTATCTGTTGAAATAATTGCAGTATGACGTTTCAACTGGATCGGTTACTCTTAAGGTATCAAAGTACTGTTAATTCCTCGGAACTCTGGCCGTGGTAGAGGGGTCATACCATCTCTCGCGGAGCTGGTGGGGCAGTCTTATCAGCTTACGTCAGCGTGGGTACTACCAGTTTGGAATGTAGTGTCTTGGAGTGTGATCAGGTGTACAGTACTACTCCTGGTCTCCGTAGGCAATGTTTTCCGCTCGGGGAGTAGCTCTGAACGTCACCACAGCAAGCGTACAGCTTCGCGTGCTCCACAATAGCGTTTACCTTTCCGCGCAAATAAAGTTACGAGGCACTAACTATATGCAGCCCGTTGTGTGTCTTAACGTACTTTAAAATGAGGCAGTCATCACAACAATAACAACTTTTAATATTTTTAAGGTATTTACTCTTTCTAATAGCAACATTTAACTTTAATTGTATCAAATTGAAAATTTTAATAATTTAATCTCCACTAAAATACCGATCTGTATTTAATGCATCGACAGAGTTTACGGACATACCTTATAGGTTGTGTATTGCCTGAGGATGGCCTAAAAAAGGCCGAAACATGTAATAAGAACTGGACAAATAAACAAATGTTGATACGATATATTTTGTTTTATTGAGTATTATTGTTATAGTTGTGCTGACTGCAACATTTGAAAATAATATTGAGGTAATTATGTTTGACTTAAGGTTCTCACAGGGGTCTAATAGGATATAAGGCAAAATCCTTCTTGAAAAGCTAATAGTTGTGGAGCTGCTATATAAAATGACAGCATTTTATTAACCCGAATGTTCATTCATATGTTCACAGAAGCCAACCACTTGTCCCGACTCATCATCATCAGTAATCTGTCAGACGACAGGTCCACAGTCTCTTCCAAAACAGTTCCTCCACATAATGCGATCTAGAGCTTTCTCCTTCAAATGACAGTATCCTCTTCTGTCCCCAAGGTCATCCAGCATCTTCTTACGTCTTCTTCCTCGTCTTCTGGTCACTTCTATCCGCCCCTCTATCTTTCCTTCAATAACTTCTTTTAGAAGGCAGTTACCGCGTAAGATATGACCAATCAAATTAGCCTTCCGTTTTCTAATTTCGTGTAGGATATTCCTCTGCTCACTGACTCTAATTAACACTTCTTCATTTCTCACATAATCGGTCCAACTGATCTTCTCCATCCTTCTCCAACACCACATTTCGAAACTTTCCAGATGTTTCTGATCTACTGCCCTAAGTGTCCATGTTTCAGCCCCATACAGAGCTATGCTCCAAAAGTAGCATTTCACTAGTTTCTTCCTCAAAAAGTTCAATTTGCCGATAAAAAAAGATTCTTCTTCTTGCTAAATGCAGCTTTTGCCATGGAAATCCTAGATTTAATTTCACACGTACACCTTCCATCATCTGTTAACAAGCTACCCAAATATTTAAAACATTTTACATTTTCCAGTTGTTTTTGGTCTATCTTTATTGTGACTGGGGTTGGCCGTCTCGAAAGTTTCATTACTTTTGTTTTCTCCACCTTCATTTCCATACCATGGCACCTTCCAATTTCGATTAGTCTGTCAATCATGTGTCCCGACTATAAGGCACAAATTCCTGTCAACGCACCCATCCTGTTTCTTCATGATCCATTTTAAGTTATTTTTGTACCCACACCCAGCATATCATTATTCATAGCCCCCCCCCCATTAATAGATTCCTGAATATGGGATGCTTTTGGCGTGTGCGCAAGTGAAATGAGAGGACTGCTTACGTAATTGCAATTTTGTTTGCTCGTTCGCTGCAATAAATCTTAAAGAGCTCTGTTAACCTAACTGTCTCTCTCTTCGTCTGTCCACATGTGTTCTTGCTAGTAGTGGGGTGGGACTAAGTCCCCTGTATTGCAGCCACTTCTGGCCTATTGTACCAGCCCCAGATGATAGGTGAGGGTCATCGTGGAGCAATTGGTGGAATGAAGATTGGCAGGGGAAACTGAAGTACTCGGAGAAAACCTGCCCCAGCGCCACTTTGTCCACCACAAATCCCACTTGACCAGACCCGGGATCGAACCCGGGCCGCCGCAGTGGGAAGCCCGCAACTAACCGCTTGAGCTATGGCGCGGCCCTGTCCACATGTAACATCTGAAGGATACTGAACAAATTTTCTTGAAGATTGATATTGGAATGATTTTGTAACATTTGCCGACCCATTCCGATTGTAATTAAGACTTGATAGTAATAATAAATGATTCGAACAAAGATGTACACTAGATTCTGCGCTCAGCTCCTGTTTATCTTGCTATGCATAGATACAAAGTAAAGCTATCCCTGTAACAGGCCGTCTGGGTCAATAGGATTGTGAGGTTCCACATTATCTTGACAGTCGACTCACAGATGGCGGAGAGGCTGTCACCCTTACGCGCCGTCCGCGCTTTACTCCCCCAGGAAGATTCCTGGTACTCATTTCTGTTAGAAGCCGAGTCAACCCCAGAGCCATAGTGCGTCTGGAAGGATTAGGTCAATTGAAAAATCCAGTGATATCGGGAAACTAACCCGTGACCTCCCGGCTTGTAGCATAGGGCCTCAACCAACTACTCCACCGCGTGCCCCTTGCTATACATATAACGGAACGAAAACATTCCGAATCATGTTTGTTGGCATGTTCCGTAGAAGGAATTGTTTATAACATGTACATACCCATCCTCTTCAAATTATTTATGAGAAAAGAAAATTTTGCTTGTATGAGAAACGTGATATCCCATAATTCTGGAGGTAGTGGGTTTAAGAGCAGCAGTGTGAAACCTACGATCACCTCTCGTCTTATGAGGAAGAAATACGTATGTAATTCACATGCAGCTGTTTACCATTGAATAAAATATTTCGGTTTTTAAATTTGGCGAGAATCTATGAGAAAAATTCAAATTCTGATCCCCAATGTTCGGACACGCTAATGTAAAATTAAACACAGACTTCAGAACTCGTGTCATATCAGCTTGTGTTTCATGTTCGTGTTGTGACAGAACACTACATTTAAGGAATAAAGCAAAAGTGATTTCAACCCAGGCCAAAACTAATTAAGGATATTTTTGTTTCCAGTTTTGTTAATTTCGATCTTTTGCTGAAACAAATGAAGAATTTGTTTGCTCTGATGCAGAATGGAAGCCTGGAGCAGTAAGATGAATTTTATTTTGGTGAAATAAATACATGTACAACTAAACAAACTCAGATTATAGGAAATTTTGTTTAATTATTGTCGAGAACAAGATGACCTTCCGGTATTCGCCTGTTTTAGGGAGGACTTTGTTGACTGCTGAATAGGCTTCTGGAAGTTCGGAAATGTACTCAGAGTATCCCTTTTTGGTTGACTTTGTAGAAACTACGGAAGATATATGTTAGTATTGAAGAATGCGCTTCATGTTTATTAACGTGTGTTCGGAACACATTACAATCTGATAAATATTGAACTAGATACGTGAGGAAATATATGTAATAATAATATTTAACATCGGTTATTTTTGTCAGATTTTAATAGGAATCAGAACATGCATGGTGTTATTGAAAACTCTCCAATATCAAATTTCATTAAAATTCGTTTAGCGTTTCTCAAATTGATTTCCTACAGCGAAGACATGAAATTCTGCGAAGAAGTATTCACACACTTTACTTTGGTACGACGCGGACCGTGTAGAAAACGATGATTCCAATATTTCTTCTATTCTTTGTGAATTCGTTGTGGCGGTAACGTTTTCACCGAGCAGTTGCTTAGCAATGTCAGGGTATACAGATACAGAAACACAGACTGATGGGAGTGATTTATGAAGTACGCCATTGAGATGGCCTCAGATGTCATGATATACATACAAAGTTTAATATATTAAGGAGTTCAAAAGATTATAGAGGGATTCACAGACACACAGACAGCATTGAGATAACCTAAGCCTACTTCATTTTTTTTTCAAAATAAGGAATACTAGGGTAAAAAGGGACAACTGGGTTAAGGGATGTACTGAATGTGTTGAACAGGCGCACAAAAGAGGTGAGGTCACTCCTAAAAGTGAAATATTTCATGCCCAATACATTCCTGTAAGCCTCGCGTAGATAGCTAGCCGGAATTTTTGTTCTGTTAGTCCATTTTCTAACTTGTTTTAGTTAAACAATGTTTGATATCCCTTTACTAATTAACAAATAATTCTAGTGCTCCACAGTTACTCAGTAAAATTAATATTGTGAACACTGTAACAAACAAAACTCAGAACTTACTTACCAGACTGGAAGCCCTGCAGGGAGAGTCCTGTTACTGTTGCACAGATGAGAGAGAGACACACCAGCAGTGGCGAGGAAGTCATGATGAATACGTGTAGGTAAGCCAACGTGTCGAAGTAAGAACATGTAGTCTGCTTTCATTTATATATGTAAAATGTCGAGGATACTTTATGTAGTTTCTCACATTAATATTCCATAAGTCTGTAAGTTTACGCTTCGTAGCCTGAAATGATTTCATTTCGCTTTCAGTGATGCAGGATATGTTATCATCGTAAAATATATATTTCCAAAAATGTGTTGTACGTACTTATACTGAAAGGAAGGAAGAGTAATAGAATTTCTGGAAGCCATTCTGAGGGAATAAAAAGCGATATTTAATTTTTTCCACCACTTAATATTGCATTAACAAAATTGCATATTGTGGGCTTTATACATATAATTTACCAAATGATCCACGTAATTATGCAGAACTAGAAATAGTATTATTGTTATGTAACACACATTATGGCCTTCTGGATAATGGTAGAGTGTGGTTGCATGATGGGTACTGATGTTTTTAGGAGTGAATCGCCTTTATTTTTCTTGAAAACGGAGGCATTATATTCCTGCGAGCCTATTATACACCCATCCGTCCTTGTGTATTTAAGATTAGTTTGTATATTACAGTCCCTTCATCCGAGATCTTCTCATTTGTCTCTAACCTTCGGAACTGCGGACGAAACTCCATAAGCCCTTCTCACATCTTCCGTATATGTTGTATTTCTCTCCCAAATATTCATCCCGTTTAGTGATTTGTAGTTTAGTAAAAGAAATATTATAATTACAGTGTTCCTTATTTATTTTATCAAGAAAGAAACAAGCAGTTCATTACAGTCCATGTTTAATTTTGCGCAATTTCCTAACCTACATACAACTTAAGATTAACTCACGCATTCTGTTTCATTCTGTCGGCCCACTCTTTCAGCCTCTTTCTCTTGTCTTCACATGCAGTACCTGAAAGCAGAATGATTTGTCATTTAAACTGTATCACAATGCACGTTATCTGAGCCCTCAACTAAACACATGGAGGAGGTTACTGTAGATCAGTCGATATTTTCTTTGTTGATCCAGGAATTAGTGATGTTAACCTAAAGTTTCATAGTCATGTGAACTAATCATGATATATGAGCAGTTCAGTGAAGTTCACAACTTCACACTCCGGTTCTCCAAGATCTCAGCTACTTACTGGTCTCCAAACTGATATTTCCCCATAGACTTCCCAGTCAAAATTGAATATTAATTTCTCATATTGCTGTTCGTAACGCTTTATGCTCTACCATCCACCCTAAAAATGAAGTGCCGATTACAGTGACCGCTCGGTCTAAGACATGAACTGTCTTCGCCCGTTCGAACGCTGGGATCGTGGGTTTGAATCCCACTCAATGCATGGATGGCTTTGTGGGTTTATCCTGTGTTTGTGTAGGTAAGCGGGCATGAGACGGGCTGATCCCCCGTTCAAGGAGTCCTACCTAATTTGTAAGAAAGGCAGCCAAGACCCGACAAAGGGCAGCAGATCCATAGATAGATAGATGGACCACGCCATAGCTCAAGCGGTTAGTCGCTGGCTTCCCACCGCGGCGGCCCGGGTTCGGTAAAGTGGGATTTGTGGTGGACAAAGTGGCGCTGGGGCTGGTTTTCTCCGAGTACTTCGGTTTCCTCTGCCAATCTTCATTCCACTAAACTTTCCATCATCATAATCACCCGGGGCAGGCTACAATAGGCCAATCAGTGGCCACCGTGCCGATGGACCTTGTTCGACTCCACCCCCCACTAAGCGAATTAATTATTAGATAGATAGATAGATAGATAGATAGCTAACAGACAATATCTTTATTCCTATGAAGCGCTTCCACGGCGTTGTTGCTTTCATTTAAGATTTGTTTCAATATCATCCTCCCTAACTTTCGGGCATGTTATTGAGACTTGTTTTAACGACTAACATTTTAAATTTAAAGTATTTCTGGACTTTGTCCAGGGTCTGATATTCTGAAACAATATTATTTGCTGTCAGCAGAGCCGTTTAGGGCTGATCGAAGTTTGTTTGCGTTTCTCCGTGTAATGTCGTGGTGCAGGGGGGCGTGGAGTCATCCCGCCTCTGCCACCACTGTAATGCCGCAGAGCAGGGGGGCGTGGAGGTATTCCTCCTTTCCTCCACAGCTTACTCTGTAATGCCACAGCGGCGCAGGGGTGGCGTGAAGGTAGCCCTCCCTGCCACCACTGTAATGTCGCGACGTTGGTACAACATGTAACGTCGTGACGACGGGGGTGTGCAGGTACCCCTCCTTGCCACCCCAGCTTATGCTGTAAGGAGTTAACACAATACTCCTAGCTCACCCTTAGCTAGGATTCTCCTGTTCGGGGTTTCCTGGGTCTCACTCAAAGCTGGCACCATCTATTATATGTCCTTTTCTATCGTGGGGACTACCCCCTGAGCATATAGTCATAGCTCCGTCTTGACCACTCCTCATATAGTTTACAGGTAGTTACATGTAACTCCTCCTATCTGAGGATACCGCTAACCTCTCTGTCCCTGTTTGTCTTTCTTGCCTTCGGCTGCTACTGCTGCCTGTGTCAGTTCAGCCCTCGCTTGGTCAGGATTGCTCGGGATCGGATGTGGGAAAGTTGATTATAGATGTGCATCACAATCCCGGTACATCCTACTCTATCTACTCTATCTATTTACACTTTTGTATTTACATACTTTACAAATTTACATTATTAACAAGACCGACATACAGTCGGGTCTGCATAGAGTCTTTACTACACGTTAGACTCCTCCAAGTTCTCCCCCTTCGGGGATGGAGGCCTCGAGCCTCTCTCTCTCTCTCTCTCTGACGCATCTAATGAGGACATGCAAGCCCTCCTCGTTTAACCTGAATCTTTTTCCCGTATATTTCTTACTACACATTATATATGATTACCCTATCCTTCGTAAAGTTTCCCCTGACATAATCTACCCTTAGTTATATATATATATATATATCAAATTCCCACATACTATCTTTACCACTACACACTAACCATAAGCTTGATACATACACTATAAAACCCTTCTTGTCTGACTCACATCCTAGGCAATTACATGATTCTAGTATTCTCCCCTCAGGGCTCACCGGGTACACTGGAGTTTGCACCTTGAAATCACTCAACACTCTTATCAACAATAATATCATCAACAGTAATATTAACCAGCACGGCTGTTATGCGTAAATAAACTTACTTGTAGTACAAGATGCAGGCCCCCTGCCTCCGCTGGTAATGCCCATGTTGAAGAGAGCCTTCGGCTGACAACTGAATATTCTGTGTTAGATCATGATCCCAAGTCCCCCGAAATTCCCTAATTTATAGTTTTAATTCGCTGATTCAGCGTTGACGACAGAGGGTAGAGAACTCCTCCCCAGTGTCCTCAATCCTCATAGTAACATTCTAATTGGTTCTCATGGGTGGTTGTGGGCGGACCCCTTGTGTCTTTTTGCTGTGTATGCGGTCTATTACGATTACTCTAGTGACCAAGTGAGGCAAGCTTCTTGCCCTGCAGTTACACAGACTTGCTGATCAGCAACATTCTTAACCTATTTGCCTGTCCATGTGTTTACAGATTACTGTAATAACTGTGAAACGCTTTTCGCAAGTCGCGAACATTTTGGGTAATGTCTTACAATCTCCAATCTCAAATTTGAGGCACTACACTCCGTGAAGTCGGATCCTCTTACAAAGCACGTAAACACGTGGTTGTGTATGTTGCAAAGAGGGCACAAGAGTTCGAACTGAACAGTAACGTGCACGTTTCCCGAATTATATGCCCCCAGTTTAGTTCTTCACATAATTTTGATCTGTTATTTTCGTTCTGAAGTGCTTCACGTTTTTTCCAAAATTTAAAAAGGCTCTTCACTTTTTATGTCGTTCTATGGATCGTGAATCAGTGTAAGGGATTTTTATTTTATTCTGTAACTGATATGTAATAACGCCTATGAATTTAGACGAAATATGCCAATAAAAGCCAGCATTGAAGTATATGATACTGATGGTGACTTTAGAAGTGCTATGTGCTCTGGTCGAATCATTCGTCAGTTATAAGAACAAAGAAGCCCTGTCCCTTATCTGCGTAATTTACAATTAAGATACATAAAATAAAGCCTGACTAAATATCATACATACTTTCATCTTGTGTACTTACTTTTGACCTGTTTTTCTTCCGGACAGTTCTGAAAGAGAAAAATATATTGATATATAAGTTTATAAAGAGACATGTGCATAAATATATACACAGGCAGAAGAATTCATAGATAAAAATGTAGAGATACATAATACACCTACAAGGGTAGAAGTGTAGACAGGTAAATACTTACACATATAGATTACATTATCTAAGAGTAGTTTAAAGGGGCACACGGTGGCGTAGTCGGTTGAGGCACTATGCTACAAGCCGAAATGACATGGGTTCATGTCCCGATGAAGTCATTAGGTTTTTCTTCAATTTACCTAATCCTTCCAGCCGCACTATGGCCCTGGGTTCGACTCAGCCTCCAACAGAAATGAGTACCAGGAATTTTCCTGGGGGGGGGGTTAAAGTGCGGCCGGCGCGTAAGGCTGACGTCACCGCCATCTGTGAGCCGATTGTCTAAAAAATATGGGACCCTCATCGTCTCACAACCCTATGGGCTTTTTACCTTTTAAGAGTAGTTTTAGCTAGAGTAGATTTAGTAGGTATCTAGTAGGTAGGTAGGCAGGTAGGTAGGTGCCCCGGCCAAGACTCAAACTGGACAGCTCACGAATGCAAGCTAGGATCGTTAAATCTTGAGAGAGCTTGCTCGGTAATTTGATATGTAAGCAATTGATTTTCATTATACACAATTCAGTGATTTAATGTTGCATGGTATGAAGCCATTTTCCATGAGCTTATGAAAGGAAATGTGGCCGTCTTGTTGAATGTGCCGATATGTAGATTTACATAAATTACCGATGTTTCGCAGAATTCTGCTGCCTCTATCGACAGGTTTGAGCATGGAACCTTCATATACCGCCGAAACTTCAGTGTCTGCCCACCGTATTATACCGCGTAACATCCCAGAAGACCACAGTCTTAATATTCACCGCACAGAAAGTTTGATGCTAAAATTATAAAATAAAATTTCAGTTCTTACCATTTCTGTCTTTGTCCCGACGCACATCACTGCAAAGCCAAAGGCACCGTTGCAAGACCTTCCGTCCACTTCTACTATACCAACTTCTAAAAATGGAAAGAGTTACATAATTAGACTTCTTATCCTAAGGCCCCACTTCTATGTACAACAGGTAGGCCTACATTCGTTCGGTGGTCTTTAAAATAACCGAACATATTAATGACAGTTAAACTTGTGATACACCTGAAGAACTGCCCCTTGCGGGTGTGAATTCTTCTAAGAGAGAAGGTGTGAAGGTTGTCTAGTTAATATTTAACATTAATTAATTAATATTTAATTGGAGTGAGAAGGTCAAATACTGTGCCTCTTCGTTAAATATCACAAACAGTTCAGTTCTCTCCTTATAACATCTGTCTTATTTTATTTCGAGCGACAGTGATGGCGGTAAGCTTGATACGCAATTTAAATGGTAATATGTTATATAGAGGTGACCCCTGATGTGCCGTAACATCAGAGTCATTGCATACACAAAGGCAGAATTTGTCGTTCTGTGTAAGTAAGTTCCAAAATGTTGTCACGTGTTTAGGTTTGGCTATAGACCTGGTTTGGACTGGTGAATAGATTTATTAACCACACACCACTCGGAACTACAAGTACTTACAGCGCTATCGCTGATTTCCATACTTTGCAAATTACTACACGTTAAGTCTTCTACAGCCTTCAGTGTCTCCAAAAGCCGTTCCCTGGCAACGGCTTCTAAGAATGGAGATTCTTCATCTTTTCGCGCTCAGGTCCTGTATTCACAGCATCCCGTGCAGAACTAAGTCTTAATTAACAACTGGCAACTCTCAGGCTGGCGGCCATTTCACAACCTCCTACTCCTCTCTTGACACCTTGACTTTCAAGTAAGAACTAACTGGGTCGCCCAAATTGTCTCGAAGATAACTCCTTTGCACGGACCGAGTAAAGAACACCGTTTCCAACAGCAACTCTATCGCTGTGTAGTCGTGTTTACCGCTCCGATGCATAGCAACGACTTTTGTCTCGTTTGTTACAAGATCTTTGCCTGACCGTGGGTCTATACGCCACAACATAATACAGAATGCGATCTTTTGTAATCGATCATTGCCTAGCGGCCTAACTCTTAAATATTGATTCTTGTTACTTATTACCAATTTTGTACTAAATGTGACTTATGTCCAGTTTTGCACTGATCACTAAGAATTTTCGGCAAGGAATGTTAATATAAGGGCTACTAGAATGGTCCATGACAGCCGGTGGTAACATGAGCGCCTTACTCCCACCCCACCAGCCCGATTAAAAGGGACTTCCAGAATGTTCTCGATTAAAGAATAATGAGGAAGCTTCAGGAATAATCAGGAAAGAGAAGGTTCTGGATGTTACGTCATCACACAGTATTTAAAGGGACTGATCCTCAGATGACGGGCATTGGCCGATATGCTGGGCAGTCGGTGAGCCAGCATGTATATTCAGTGAGACTCACACACAGGCTGGGAGATGGGCGTACCTCATCTACCGTACTGTAACGTAGTGTTCGGTGCGTACCAAAAGTGAAACTGTAACAGCAAGTGACTGCTGCTTGCAACCGTGTAGAGCTGTTAGTAACATCGAGTTGTGATCCAGAGACCTCTTCACCAAGAAAACCTCTCTCTCGTCGAAGCCCTTTACTCCCAAGGCGCCTCGACGTGGTGCCCAGACCACGTAACGTTCACACCGATCACGAATGGTAAAGAGGAGCTCTTACTAGTAGCGCCCAAACGAGCCTTTGCAAAAGGACTGTTAAAGGTGGCCTGTCTCAACACAGGGCTACACACAGTGTAAAAAGAACTCTCATAAACAACGTCCAACGCATGGCAATTACACTTTTGGTTTTCATACCTTGGCGATGGAAGCAGCTTCTTCCAAATGTTAGTACCCACCTACCAGGCCGTGCGGTGTCATACTGTCTCAGATTTCAGGGTAGAAAATGGAGTCTCTGTATTCTTTTGAGAGGTTGATAGTACTTTTCAAGACTACATGATATCATAACCCAGAGAACTATAGTATTTTACCTGTGGCCTTCTGGTTCGCAAGAGGAACACATTCATCAATAGACTTTTCGGTAACATCCTTCAGACTTGAATCATTATAACGGGCCAAGTAGGCCGACTTGAAGTCTTCAAGCTTCACGTATCCTTCTGAGTCGACCTGTTGTCAAGAAGGGCACAGAAACGTTTATTTCTGCAGGGTTAATCATTTGAACCATATCTAAATGTTGGGTCACCTTCACACAGACCAGCTGATTAAACATGCTTAGGGAAATAATTGGTGTTTATTCAGTCTCTTACAGAATATTTAAATTTAATTATGATGAATTCGAGTTCCAAAACGTTAAAGCATTTGTGCATACAGTTCACATTGTACGTTAGCGCGTTGAAAGAACGTTGGAGCTTATATTCATTAGTGTATTGTAAAATGATGGACCAGCTGAAGAGGTCGGGAGGTGTTCCTACATATAAGCATTACTCATTTCAGCGATTGCAATATAAACTCAAGTAATTTCCAGAACATGTGCGACACGATTCGCATGAATGACAAGAACCAAGCCACCTTTGAAGTAAAGACATTTGTAGATATGTCAGCATATTGGACTCAGCCTAAGACGCAAAAGGAAAGTCTTGCAACACATGAAATATGGTTTTTGACGATAATGATGGGCTGCATAAAAAATGGCTGTATTTTAAACCAAACAAGGAGTAATTAAAATATTTGCTTCTGGGGTAAAATTGTACAGCATTAATAAATGAACTACTTTTAATTAATACCTCATGATTTTTTTATTGCTAGTGGGGTGGGACTAAGTCCCTTGTACTGCGGCCACTTCTGGCCTAATGTACCAGCCCCAGATGATAGGTGAGGGTGATTGTGGAGCACTTGGTGGAAGAAGATTGGCAGGGAAGCAGAAGTACTCGGAGAAAACCTGCCCCAGCGCCACTTTGTCCACCACAAATCCCACTTGACCAGACCCAGGATCTAACCCGGGCCGCCGCGGTGGGAAGCCAGCCACTAACCGCTTGAGCTATGGCTCGGCCAAATATCTCATGATACTAAAACCTGATTTCATTTCATGCCACTGTAAACCTTGCGTCTAACTAACTAATTACATGGAGCTCAGCTCTTGAGATGCTGCCAGTCACACAGTTGCTCAAGAGCTTCCCAACATTTTATGGTAGCCGAAGGTTTACTACCGTGTCCACAAGAGTCCTCCAATGGTCCCTATCCTGAGCCAGATCAATCCAGTCCTTACCACCCCATTCTATCTCTCTAAGATTCACTTTTAATTTTATTCACCCACGTACGTTTTGGTCTACCTAGTGGTTTCTTTCCTTCCGACTTTTGCACCATTATCCTATATGTTTTATTCTTTTCCCCATTCTTGCTACATGTTCTACCTAGCTCATCCTCCTCCACTTGTATGTATGTATGTATGTATGTGTAAGGGTGGGCCGTAGCAATTTGGCCCTTGCACCGCGACAATCACTGATCTATTGTGCTTCCCCTTTGATGAACCCCTTATTAATCCTACACTTCGGATTAATTGTAGGACTGTATTTAAGGGGGCGTCACAGTAGTCACTCGGTTCCATGAAGAACTGGCCCAGGTGACGAAACCTTAAATAAGCTGTGGCCTCACAATCACACAGGGGGTGTGTGGCTGATTCGTTTTCTTCTAGGTACCTATCACAAGTGGGATCATCTGTCAAGCCCAGTTTGAAAAGGTATCCTTTTAGGTGACAGTGTCCAGTAAACAGTCCTACCACCCATTTTAATTGATCTCTGTTTAGCTTCAACAGATCCTTCGTTCTTCTGACAGAGGATCTCAGTGCCTCTTTGAGTCCAATTGTGGCTTCCCAGTATTTTTTGTTCATACAGGCCGTCCCCGCTTTCTTGGCAACTCCAATTGAGATGCCTCATCCTCCTTGACTTGATCATTCTAATTACACTTGGAGCAGAGTACAAGGTATGAAGCTCCTCATTATGCAGTTTTCTCCAACCTCCTGTCACTTCATCTCCCTTCGGCCCAAATATTCTCCTCAACTCACTGTTCATGTATCTAAACGAAAAGGGAATTCCCTCGTGCATTATGCCCTGGAAGTACATTTAAAGGTAAGTTCATATTACAGAGGAGAACAGCAGTCCTTCATTAGGAAGACATATCTGTTAGTGCTGTTTAGGGAAATAATCGCCATTTACTGCAAAAACTTTACGGAATACAAAAATAGACCTTATGCACAAAATTATAGCAGTTCATTTTAAAGTAAGTGGTACGAATAGTTACCACTGTAGTGGAAAGTGTTAAAGAGCTCGGTAACTATTTTACTGTTATGTCCTTACTTCGTTGCAAGTCTCAACTTACCAAGTTCTTCTTCTGCCCCAAACAGTGAGATGAGCACTGAAAAATATGAACAAACATGGTGACATTGCGTTTCCAGATATGGTCAGAATCGGTAATATATACGTAAAAAAGTTAGCTACAACGATTTACTTACTTACTCACTCATGGAGCTGAGCCCTTCTGGAGGAGCCGCCAATTCTGTAGCTACTCAAGAATTTCCCAGCATTTTATGGAACCCGAAGGTTCATTACCGTGTTCACAAGAGCCCTCCACTGGTCCCTATCCTGAGCCAGATCAATCCAATTCATACCATCCCATCCTATCTCTCTAAGATCCATTTTAATATTGTTCACCCACCTACGTCTTGGTCTTCCCAGTGGTCTCTTTCCTTCTGGCTTTCCCACCAATATCCTTTAAGCATTCTTCTTCTCCCCCATTCGTGCTACATGCCCTGCCCACCCCATACTCCTTGACTTGATCATTCTAATTAAACTTGAAGAAGAGCACAAGTTATGAAGCTCCTCATTATGCAGTTTTCTCCAACCTCCTGTCACTTCATCTCTCTTCGGTCCAAATATTCTCCTCAACACCCTGTTCTCAAACACCCTCAGTGTGTTATACTGCAGGCCTNTCATACCATCCCATCCTATCTCTCTAAGATCCATTTTAATATTGTTCACCCACCTACGTCTTGGTCTTCCCAGTGGTCTCTTTCCTTCTGGCTTTCCCACCAATATCCTTTAAGCATTCTTCTTCTCCCCCATTCGTGCTACATGCCCTGCCCACCCCATACTCCTTGACTTGATCATTCTAATTAAACTTGAAGAAGAGCACAAGTTATGAAGCTCCTCATTATGCAGTTTTCTCCAACCTCCTGTCACTTCATCTCTCTTCGGTCCAAATATTCTCCTCAACACCCTGTTCTCAAACACCCTCAGTGTGTTATACTGCAGGCCTGCAGTATAACACACGCAGTCACAGGAGCAAGACACAACACAATGCACAATACACACACGAAAGTAGGAAGAGTGCTCCGATAGAAGAGGATAGGTGTGATTCGCGTATTGAGATGCGACGTAGGGATAAAAAATCCTGAACAGTTTTAATATTTTTAATATTTAATATTTATCAATATATATGATGAACATATATTTTAGTTATTTTAGTATGAAGACGGCAAGGCATGCAGTGAAGTAGTTTAACGTAAATCGAAAAGCACCTGAAGATGGCACCTTTGGGCCGAAACATGTAGTGCAGGAGTGAAGAGTGAGGTGGATGAGTGTATGCACTGTAAGACGGCTGGAATAAATCATGGACTGAATATCTGTTATGTGTCCTCAGGTTATTTACAGATAAGTACTGTCTTGAATTAATTCACTGCAATGATTTGAAAATTATAACATTGTCCAAAAGTTGGTCGGGTGTGAGTTTTGTTACCACCCGCAACGGTTGTGGTACACCTGGAAATCGGTATATAATTTGTCAACAAATGAATTATATGGAAATGTATGCCATTTGGTGAGTTTTTGCAACGAAAAGTTGTAGAGGTACACATATTCACTTTGCCATGTCTGTCCGCTCTGTTGTTTGATCTCTTGCAACAACTCGAGGACAGCTGAAGAGGTGCTTATAAAAACTGTCATTGTCAGGTTTTATTAACCTTTTTCCAAAATTTTCCAGTTTTATTTAAAACTGAACAAAACGAACAATAACGGAGAGCGTAGACAGACAAGTTAGCGTTCCTACTCGAAATTCAAACGTAACTAACCACTGTGTAATTTCGGAGGAAACTTGTTTCGAAATGAAGTTAAGGGAAAGAATGAAGCATGGATTTTAAGCGTAATTCACTTTCTTTAAGTCCTACATTTTACGTAATACTTATCTAAATGTGAACAAAATCGCGAACATTTTTACACTATTCTTACATTTCCTAACTTCCTTGATAAAAACAATATACAATACTAAGTTAGCGTGGTTTGATGAAATATATGAATTACTGAAAACAGGATACATAAACGTTTCTTTGGAAAATGTTCGCTGTTTAATGGCATTTAAAGACTAGCATAAAAATATTACTGAATGCTTTAATGGGATATATGTTAAATTCATAAGCTGTGAATACACATTTAGAACTTTCAAATAACTGGGATTCTGCTTATTATACTTTAATCTCATTTGTAATGTAAAATAAACAATTAACGTGTTTCCATATTGCGTTTCATCATATCCAACTTACAGCGAATCTCTGCGCGAATTTCAGACCCTTGTTTTCTGCAGATGTGTCTTCCGGACCTGAAAATAAACCCGTGGCCGTTAGTTCTGAAGGGTTTGCTCACGTAATTAGTCCTGCACATTTATTTGTGCGGGTTCGGCTGTTTTATTTTGAAGAAGATGTATCGAGCAGTAAGTTTCCAGGCACCCGGAAGAATCAGACGTAGGAAAGTGCTGAGAGAATTATACATTCCCCCCTCCCGATCTAGTGTCGGGCATTGAGAGGAGAGGGGAGAGATCTGGCGTGGTTGGGACCTGTAATTACAATTGATCAATTAAGGGTGGTTGAGTTAATGCTTATAAATAATCTGCAAGGTAGAAACAAATTGAAAAGTTCTGATTGGGACAGCTTGAAATTATATAGAGTGACATACAAGAGCTGAAGGTGAAGAAGTGGAGGCAAAAGAGACATCTGTCGTAAATTAGGCAAATTTTTTAGTTGTCTATAGAACCAGGGAGCCAAGTACTTAAGTGAGTAATGGAAGTTCAGTTTCATTGGGTAGTAGTAACTTCCGTGAAGCGCCTTTAGGTGTTTCGGCCACTTCTGGCCATAAAGATATATATATATATTTTTTTTTTCTTACCTGCCTGTACCCTACATGATTGTATATGTGCCTTCTCTTCATCCGTCAGCGTTATCGAAACTGTCCCGCAACATTGCTGCGCAGAGAAACGGGGAAACTTGTAACATATTCCCTTCACTGCTGATTGTGTTGGGGCTTCTTATGAGGGGATTCTGCATTAAGGGTGTTTGAGAGTAGGGAGCTGAGGAGGATATTTGTACCCAACAGAGAGGAAATTTACGTAATGAGAAACTTAATACATTGTACTATTTACATATTATTAGGGAAATAAGCAGAATAAAATGGACTGAGACATTCAGTAAGCACAGGGGAGCTGGGAAGTGCGTACAAGATATTATGCCTAAAATCTGAACGGAAGAAACCATTATTAAGACCTAGACATAGATGGGAATACAATATAACAGAGATGTTAACGAGAGAGAACGGAGATATATGGACTGAAATCACCTGGCACAGGGCAGAGGCCGCTGGTGGACTTTTGTGAGCACTCTCATGAATACTCTGGTTCTACAAAAGACGGGAAATATCTTGACTGACCGAATGATTGTAACCTCTCAAGAAGGTCTCTGTTCCACTGAGGTAGGTAGGTGGTTGGTTAGGAGGATTCTGACAGCTGTTTGCAGTTGCCCTATCAGCATATACACTTATTAAGTTAAAAATAAAGGCCGCGCCATAGCTCCAGCGGTTAGTCGCTGGCTTGCCATCGCGGCGGCCCGGGTGCGATCCCGGGTCTCGTCAAGTGGGATTTGTGGTGGACAAAGTGGCACTGGGGCAGGTTTTCTCCGAGTACTTCGGTTTCCCCTGTTAATCTTCATTCCTCCACAATCACCCTCACCTATCATCTGGGGCTGGTACAATAGGCCAGAAGTGGCCGCAGTACAAGGGACTTAGTCCCACCCCACTGGCAATAAAAAATTTAAAAATCGGTTATCATTCCTTATATTGTATTTTCCAAGTGTTGAAAATCAGGTTGGGCCTGGAAAATAATAATTTTAATAGTTAATTTTATGTGTGCAAAACATGACGGCTTACTTTGGGAGAGGAGCATTTGAATTCCAAGTTCTTTCAAAAATATGTGCATCAAAGAAGAATAGCGTACTTGAACAATAACGTGTGAAAGAACGCCAGAGAGAGAGAGAGAGGAAATGAGGGGCATAAGGAAAGACGTTGCATTTAAAAGGGGACAAGAATCTATCCCTATTTTGAAGGTTCCCAGGTTGTGACAAGAGGCAGAGAGAAAAATGTCTAGTTATCAATTGCTGTAAATAAACTACTTTCAGTGTATACACATTTAAAGACTAAATTATTTTTAAGTAATATAAAAATTTAGTTCATACCTCACAGGGATCACTTTACATCTCCACTGAAAATATCGAGCGGTTGATGCTGTCTGGGGAACGAGTAAGAAGCATACGAAACACACAAATGCACTCTGTGGGCAGAATGCAGAGTTCATAATGTATTAAAGCAGGTGGTGCATAAAGAAACACTGGACTTTAGAAGATTAATTAAGGGTGAACTTGGGTTCACACTCCGGCTGCTTTACTGCCCGTACATATTGGATAGAGGCCTGAGTGAGCTTCAGCGCTGGGCTGGTCTCGGTTGCGAGAGAAGCCTCTGGCTCTGCCAGCAATCCAGACCCGCCAACTCTTGATTGTTCAACCCGTATTGACTAAGGTTCCGGAGAGAATGTGTTAATTGTAAATTAACTGTGTGTGAAATTAAACTAATGATCCAAATACAACGGTCTCAACACGGAGTGCAGTAAATTTGTTTGTAATTACATAGAAAAAGCAAATGGAATTCAGGTATCAAAAGTTGATTTTTAATATCGTCAGAATTATTTTCACTGTGTGGAATATGATTTATTTAAATCAGCTTTAAAACTCACGGTGTTATTAAGGAACAAAATTTTAATAACATTTCTATCATAAGACCTGTCTGCACACATATTTTCATTATGTCTGTAAGCATTCAAATCAGTGAATATAATTTTAAATCTAATCCATAATTACCCACATATATAGACTTTTTTTAATTCGCTTAGTGGGGGGTGGAGTCCAACTGAGTCCACTTGGCACGGTGGTCACTGATTGACCTATTGTAGCCTGCCCCGGGTGATTATGATGATGGAGAATTTGGTGGAATGAAGATTGGTAGGGGAAACCGAAGTACTCGGAGATAACCTGCCGCAGCACCACATTGTCCACCACAAATCCCACTTGACCAGACCCGGGATCGAAACCGGGCCGCCGCGGTAGGAAGCCAGCGACTAGCCGCAATGTTATGTGATCGTATGCTCTGCTCGCCTTGCGGAGAAACATGTAGCTACAGGTTTTTGTCTGAATGGTAAACATACGAGTATTGTTAACAGTACGTACCAAGGGCCGATAGGAATTCATCTTGGCATCTGCGTTTCTGGTGAATCTTAAACTGCCATGGTGATGATCACGTGGCCCTGTCACATAATGTGACGCACCATTAACGTCCAGNACCTTTGTCCGTCATCCATTACTTTGAACAGACACAATGTTTCGGAATCTAGTTCCGTGAAAAATATGAAGAAAATTAGTTAGGCCTGTCTGCTTTATTTATTATTTATAATTATACACACGTTTCCTCTCTTCATTTTAGTGCATACGACCGCCATTAACAACTTCTAGCAAATTTAGTTCCCCTCATTTTCTCCAAACGGTGCGATAAGTAGTTAGTTTGTAGGAACATTTGTCACATATGATAGTATTTGTTTCATAACTCAGTCGATCCTCGTATAAACTCTCGTGTCCCTTACAAACGTCTTTTCAGCTGTTTCCTTGCGTTTCTCTCGCTGTTCAGGTAGAGTCTCCAATGCTACGTTCACACGCTTGTTAATTCTGACACACCCAATATTTCGTGAACTTCAAAAGACATTCTGTTATTGCTTTATGAGCAGTGTATCACACGTGCTTTGGAAGTCACGTGATATCGCAATTAAATCGATGAAACTGTTCGTATTTATATCGTATTCCAGTCATTGGAAGATATATCTACTATATGTTAATGTTGTTCAGATTTTAATATTATTTTAGCAATATCTGATCTTCTGTTACCTCTTAGTTCTTCAAAATTAATTGGTCAGTATTTGTGTAAGTTGATTTAGCGTGCAGTAGCTTTACTTTGTTCCCCTACATCGTTACGATTCTTTGCAAGAAAAATAGTATTTCCCCACACAGCATTAAACAATTGGTCTCTCTAATAAAGGTAACACCATGTTTTCTGTGAGGTTCGAATTTAATGTTTATATATTATTTACTACATGATATTTGGGTTCAGAGGTTTTCTAATAAATATTCTAGTTGGAAAGTGCAATGAAATTCAAAGGGCATAATTTTTTCATATCTTCGCCTTCACCCCACTTCTTTTCCTTTTCCCTGTCCATTTCGTACTTTTATCACAATCTCTTTCCCCCTTTCTCTGTTGAAACAAAGAAGAAAGTTTAATCTTTATCCTTCTTAATGCACAGTTCCAAACATGCGTCTGTGAAGTGAAAATACTAACTCCATGGGGCTGAGCCCTCCTTGAGAAACCGCCAGTCACTCACATACTCAAAAATTTCTCAAAATTGATGGTACCCAAAGGTTCATACCGTGTCCAGAAGAGCCCTCCGCGGGTCCCTATCCTGAGCCAGATCAATCCAGTCCATACCATCCCATCCGAACTCTCAAAGAACCACTTTAATAATTTTGTCAAAACCATATTTTCATGTTTAATTTCCTGGGTAGTCTGTACACATCCTGTACTCTAGCAGATGGGTTCAAGTTTTCGAAAACTATGATCTCCATCTTTGGGAAAATGTTGTAGAAACATTAATATTCACCTGCCACACTATCGGTATCATAACCCAGAAGACCGCAATGCAAATCTTCACCCCCATAAAGTTTCAGTTTTCAGAAAGCCATGTTTTGGAATACATCAAAGAAATGATATTCTTTGCTACCCTTTGTTTCGCCTTCGCGTTCGCCAAAGAAACAAGCGCGCTACTTACAGGGCTCGGAGCCGGGCAACGTGACACCGGAAGCGGCGACGCAGACGCAAGCCAGCAAGGCAAACACTGCTGACGGAGACATGTCTGCTGCTGAAACTGCAGGTCCCTGGCCGCATTTATACCAGTCAGTCACTTGCAGTTCAGTTGCAGTAACTCTTTTGTCTATTGTACTCCCACCTCTAGCTGAACATATTTATAAAACACAGGGGAAGAACACGTATCTGCACATAATCTCTCATGGTCAAATGCATTCATATTTGAAGTACCTGAACAAAGGGAATTGTTTCACATCGGAAATTTTATAAACGAAATAAGTTCACAGTCATCAGACGGATACATATCATGGCATGATAGTATCAAAATGTTGCTATTTGTATAAGCATTGCAAGTTACGCCGTAGGGGCAACAGAAGACGCAACCCTGCAATGACTGTGCCAGATATGAGGTTATAACAGCAGCTCTTCTGCTCTGTACGTTAATGCAGTAAGTTTCTACCAAACTTTGGTACTTACACATCCCAGAGGACCTCCAATTGCTGCAATATAATTCTTCTGAATATTATTTTGTCTTTAATTTCATCCTTGTTAACCCATTATAAGGGCCGCGCCATAGCTCAAGCGGTTAGTCGCTGGCTTCCCCCCCGGCGGCCCGGGTTCGATCCCGGGTCTGGTCAAGTGGGATTTATGGTAGACAAAGTGGCGCTGAGGCTGGTTTTCTCCGAGTACTTCGGTTTCCACTGTCAATCTTCATTCCGTCAATTTCTCCATCGTCATAATCACCCGGGGGAGGCTACAATAGGCCAATCAGTGGCCGCCGTGCCGAGTGGACCCAATTGGACTCCACCCCCCCACTAAGCGAATTAATTTTTTAACCCATTATAAGACAGTGATAAATATGTGCACCGCTTGATATAACATTAACTTTTTTTATTGCTAGTGGGGTGGGACTAAGTCCCGTGTACGGCGGCCACTTCTGGCCTAATGTACCAGCCCCAGATGATAGGTGAGGGTGATTGTGGAGCAATTGGTGGAATGAAGATTGGAAGTACTCGGAGAAAACCTGCCCCAGCGCCACATTCTCCACCACAAATTCCACTGAATAAGACCCGGGATCGAACCCGGGCCGACGCTGTGGGAAGCCAGCCACTAACCGCTTGATCTAACATTAACAACATTAACAAACATTAACAAACTTGACATATATAAATCGTCAATATATGGGCCTCATTTGCTGGTCATTACAGACAACTATTATATCGTTATGCATGAATAGCAAAATTAACTTCGTAATAAATACGGTGTGTTGTCTTGGAAATAGGAACGGAATGTTCAGACACTATTTTGATGGGGTCGACGCTTCAGATTGCTAATGCTTTAAAATGGTGTTTATCCCTTCACGTCTAAACAGATTCTCCGCACTTCCGTCATCTCCCGTTTATCTTGTTCTCATTCTTCCCTCTCCGCTCGCTCCACATTCCAAAAAGACAAGAAGTCCGATTTCTGGGCCGGAGATACCAGTCTCGAACATCGGCTAAGATAATATATACCTTCCGGCTTTTCCTCAGTCCTTCCAGGTTCAGATCAGAGCACGGAACTTTCCCCTCCGCCGCCATCAGTTCTCTGTTCGTAAGCAACTTCATATCTGCTGCTGACGCTACATCCTCTTAATGACACGCGAATCAAGTTCAGCCCTCTCTTCGTGAGTTATTTTGGTAATAACCAGGGTCCGGATTTTGATGACCTGAAAATATTTAAAAAAGACCTATAAAATGACCGGAAAAAAATCAAGAAAAATGACCTAAATGCAGGGCCCGGATTTTGATGACCTGAAAATATTTAATAAAAATGACCTGTAAAATGATCGAAAAAATCCAGAAAAATGACCTAAAGGAGAAAAGAAAGAACACTTCGCTTCCATGATATTCACATTTCAGAAACCATATCAAGAAAATTTCCCTAAAATGGCCAAAAATGGCTAGAAATACCCTTAAAAGTCCAAACATTTACCAAAAAAATACCCCCAAAATGAAAAAAATGACCTTAAAGCTAAAAATGTCAAAAAAGACAAAAAATTACCTATAACATTTACATTTCTGTAACCAGCAGCTCATATCCGAGATTTATATATAAGAGCGTCGCATAGGATACAAGGGAAAAAAGGAGACATGTCATCAAAATCCGGGCCCTGGTAATAACGAATCGCTACTTCTGTTCCCCAATAATCGTTGGATTGAACTGGCTCACAGTAGGGTGCAGTGGTAAGATCATATGAGCACAGTAATGGAATTGACGTTATTTGCTTTCCGCATGCTTCGTTCTAGTGTCATGCTTGATTTACTCTACTGTCCTGAAGATGGAGGCAGTATATTCCACCGAAATGTCGGCAAACTTCTACTGAATACGACGTTACATCCCAAAGGATAGTACTCCTCACAATAAAGGATTTTTCGGTTATGTGAATTTCGAGAAATTTTTTGAATATCAAACTAAATCGATATTAGCTTCTGGAGATAGATTCCTGCCCGTGTAGTCAGTAAATACTGTTATATAAACTGTATGATTATTCATATCATCATCATCATCATCATCATCATTGACAAAGGTTTACAAACGAGCTTTTCCTAAAAAATAAATGGTTTGGAACTGAAGCCGTGGCGAGAGCTTACAAAAAGCCCCATTTCAATTGGAACGGGGAATCCCTACATTAGTAGTCAGCAGCAACATTGCCTTATCCACAGACACTTCTTAGGTTTAAAGTCGAAAACTACATTTTCAGTTCCACAGTGTGTGTCATTTTGCATTTTGTGAACTTATGAATTATAGAAAGTGGTATTTCTTAAGTACCTGTTATGATTAACAATTTTAGGGCTTAATTTTAAAATTTTGCTCGTGTCATACCAGCTTCAGAGATGCGAACGGCCGCCATATTGGTTTTAGCACTGACGGAGATTTTTAATCGGATAATGGCCAAACCGAATTTCATGAAAATCCTTTATTTCTTCAGGCACACTCAGATGGCATGGATGTAGTGATGGACACACACAGTACATACAGCAATAGGATGATGTAACATACATTTGCCGGTGACGGTAGCCGAGCGGTCTAAGGCATGCACTGTCTTCGCTCGCTCGGAAGCCGGGATCGTAGGTTCGGATCTGTTTCCTGTGAGGTACGAACTGAATTCCTATATATAAAACTCTTATACACTGCCGGTCACGGTAGCCAAGCGGTCTAAGGCATGCACTGTCTTCGCTCGCTCGGAAGCCGGGATCGTGGGTTCGGATCTGTTTCCTGTGAGGTACGAACTGAATTCCTATATATAAAACTCTTATACACTGCCGGTCACGGTAGCCGAGCGGTCTAAGGCATGCACTGTCTTCGCTTGCTCGGAATCCGGGATCGTGGGTTCGGATCCCACTCAGGGCATGGATGTTTAGTTTGTGTGTGCTGATGATCCTCCCAA